ATTGTCCCGGATGCCATTCCCATCACCAAGAAGCATCGGCTCCTGTAGGGGTTTGCCGGAAAACCCAGAAATCTAGAAGGAAACTTTTCTTTAAAAACTATAGACTAGGGGTGCCTGGGTGGCTCAGTCGGGTCAGGCCCATGGGTTTGGGCCCCATGTCAGGCTCTGTGCTGATGGTGCAGAGCCTGCTTGGGATTCTCTCTCTCCTTCTCTCTCTGCCCCTCCCCTGCTCACACTACACTGTCTCTCTCTCAAAAATGAATAAATAAACTAAAAAAAAAAAAAAAAAAAAGCTAAACTATAGACTCATTTCTGACTCCCCAGTTTTCCCCTAATGTCCTTTTTCTGTTCCAGGACCTCAACATTGCATTTAGCAAAATCACATCTCCTTGACTCCTCCAGGCTAACACTTCCTCAGTCTTGTCTTTCGTTACCTTGATGCTTTTGAAGAGGGCTGGTCAGGGGTTTGTAGACCGTCTCGCAGTCTGGGCTTGTCTGCCGGCTCCCAGCCATGAGGTGGAGGTCATGTATTGGAAAAGGTTCCTTGGAAGCAATCTTGTGTCCTCCTTGGTACCCAGTGTCGGGAGTTCTACCCTGTCGACATGGCTTCTGTCCTTGCCACTGTGAACTTACCGATTTTTCAGAAGGAACCTGTTTTACAGAACCAAGTGCCACTGGCAGCAGGAGTCCGTGTGCACAGCTCGGGGAGCGGTGTGAGGGCTCAGGTGCATTGTGAATGGCACCCCCACCGTGGGGAGTACAAGTGCAACGAACACGTGTTGTGTGAATGAATGGTCATCCTCACCATTCGTGAGGCGCCTACGATGTGCTGGATAATTTGAGTTCCTTCACTGAACGAGTACTGTTTAAACGTCTCCTAGGCACCAGATACTGATTAGGCGCTGGTGAAACCAGGGACACCCCACTCGTGCACCTAAATGATCTCTGATCTGCTTTGGGGACTCCAGAGGCTGCCCTGAACCTCCAGCTCGGTCCATGAACCCCACAATGGTCTTTGAAACTCGATTCAGGTGTTTCTAGAAATGTTCCTGACCCTCCCCCACCCACCTCACTCAGCTAGGGAGGATGGACTATTCCCATTTTACAGATGGTGAAACAGAGGTTCGGGAACATCAAGCAGTTTCTCCAAGGTTATACCAGTGGTTGGCACAGTCAGGATTTGAACCCTACCTGGCTCCAGATACCGGCCACCTCCTCTATGAGTTTGGGTAGGGGCCTTTGCTTCCGAGGGCCATGGTTTGCTCATCTGTGTAATGAGCAGGTGAAGCTGGATGGCTTCCCAGACACCTTCTAGTGCCAAAGGCCACTGCCCTGAGGACCTGTGTCCGTGTTAAACTTCTGAGTAAGTAGAAGGAGGCTGGGTGTGTCCCTCTCTAAGCCTGTCACTCAGACCTGCCTCCCTTTTCCGGGGTGGGGGCACCTCAGCTTTCCTGGCTCAGCCGGTGATTGTCATCTCTGTGGGTGCAACAGCACTGGACGGGGGTGGTGGGGAAGGGCTGTATCTTGGTCTCCATCAGCCAGGCCGATGCCCCATCTGGCTGCCCCGGTGGGGCTTATTAGTGAGATGAAAAGCTGGACCTGCCAGGCCAGTTCCCAGCCCTTTGGGGATCTGTGCCCCCCTCCCTGCAAGTTCCTGACCTGCCCACATTCTTGCACTCCTGGCAGGAGGCTTTGAGCTCTCACAAGAACACTGCCCTGGGCTCTCCTGGCCAAAATGCAGGATCTTATGGGGCTCTCATTCAGGATCCAAACCCACAAGGCAAAAGTGCTAGGACTGTGTTCCAGAGGCCTGGATTAGAACCCCAGCTCTCCTTGTTTTCTGGCAATCAGACTGTGGCCAAGTTATTGAATCACTTTGTGCCTCAGTTTCCCCATCTGTAAAGTTGGAGAACATGGCTACTGCAGGCTCTGGTAGGATTAAAGAAACTAATCTATATGTGACTTGCTTAGCACCGATGGGCAAGTGGTGGACTCTGCGTGTTAACTAGCATCTTCCAGACAGCTGAGCATAGGCTGGAACTGGTCTAGCTTTCACGGAAAACAGGATAAAAGGCAGGAAGGCTCAGAGGTTGGCAGAAGAAGAAACACGTCCCTATCACTTAAAAATGGCACTTGACAATATTTTCGTTTTCAGCTTTATTTATTTATTTATTTACTTATTTATTTTTCAATGTTTATTTTTGAGAGCATGCAAGAGTGGGGGACGGGCCGAGAGAGAAGAAGGGAGGGACGGAGAGAAAGGGGGACAGAGGATCCAAAGCGGGCTCTGTGCTGACAGCAGAGAGCCCGATGCGGGGCTCAAACTCATGAGCCGTGTGATCATGACCTGAGCCAAAGTTGGACCCTTAACCAGCTAAGCCACCCAGTGCCCTGGTATCAGCTTTATTGAGAGATAACCCACATACTGTACCATTTACTCATTTAAGGTGTACAATTAAGTGGTTTTTAATTACACAGCTATCACCACAGCCAGCTTTAGAATATTTTCATCACCCCAAAAAGATACCCCATAACCCTTCAGAGCTTATTTGACGGCCCTCCTGCCCACCCCCTCACCCCCACTCAGCCTGGGCAGCCACTAATATGCTTTCTGCTTCTATGGATTGGCCTATTCTAGATACTTCATATAGATGGAGTCATACTGTATGTGACATTTTGTATCTATCTCCTATCAGTGTGATGGTTTTGCAGTTCATCCACGCTCTAGCAGGTGTCAGTTTGTGCCTCCTTTTTATGCTGAGTACTATTCCATTGTATGAATCTTCCACATTTTGTGTATCCATTCATCGGTTGATGAACATTTGTGTTGTTTCCATTTGGGGGCTCTTGTAAATAGTGCTATTATGAACATTTGTGTTTGATTCAACTTTTCATGTGGACCTATGTTTTAATTTCTTTTGGGAAGATACTTAGGAATGGAATTGCTGGGTCATGTGGCAACTTTATGTTTAACTTTTGTTTTCGTTTTTGTTTTTTGAATTTTTTTTTTGAATTTTTTTTTTTAACGTTTATTTACTTTTTGAGAGAGAGAGAGCATGAACGGGGGAGGGTCAGAGAGAGAGAGGGAGACACAGAATCGGAAGCAGGCTCCAGGCTCTGAGCCATCAGCCCAGAGCCCGACGCGGGGCTCGAACTCACGGACCGCGAGATCGTGACCTGGCTGAAGTCGGACGCTTAACCGACTGCGCCACCCAGGCGCCCCTCGTTTTTTAAATTTTTTTAACGATTATTTATTTTTTGAGAGACAGAGCATGAGCGGGGGAGGGGAAGATAAAGAGAGGGAGACAGAGAATCGGAAGCAGGCTCCAGGCTCCGAGCGGTCAGCACAGAGCCTGACACGGGGATCGAACTCACAAACCGTGAGATCATGATCTCATCCAAAGTCGGATGCTCAACTGACTGAGCCACCCAGGCGCCCATAGGTTTAACTTTTTGAGGGAGCAACTTCCAGAATTTCCAAAGCAGCCCCACCATTTTACAGTTCCCACCAGCTGTGAGCAAGGGGTCTGATTTCTGTGTATCCTTGTCACCAAATCGTTATGGTCTTTTTGATTATTGCCTTTTTAGTGGGTGAGAAGTGATATCCCATTGTGGCCTAGGGCACTTGGCATTGTAAGTTCATCTGTTACATGCCTAGGATGTGCTGGCAGTCCTGTAGGATTGTCACATGGGGTCATTAAAGGCATCGACTTGGGGGCCTGCCTGGGTTGGAATTCTGGTTCTAACACTTAATTACTGTGTGACTTTAGGAAAGTTACTGAAACTCGTTGGTCCTCAGATTCCACATCTGCAAAGGGGGGATAATAAGATGATTACCCACTGGGCCAACACCTACCTCCCAGAGTTGTCATGAAAATTAAGTAAGAAATGAGTGGAGAGCCTGGCGTGTGGAAAGCAAATCTGAGCTCGTAGTATTTTGGGGACAGCAGTTGTTGCTGGAGGTTGGCTTGTGACTTTTTTCCCAGTGCCCCTGTGAGGAACTGTGAGCCCAGTGTTTGACGAAGTGGCCTGTGGAGCAAGACTGCCTGAGAAGAGAGTCCGGGAGCCTCATTCACAAGCTGTGTAATGCTGGGCAAGCACCTTGACATCTCTGAACCTTGGTTTCCTATAACCTATCCATAAAGTGACACACAAACCTTCCCAGGGGCTTGGGGTGAGGGTGTTGTCGAGGCGGTGCCTGTGAACATGCCTGATGTCTGGTGAAGCATGTGCATCGTCAAATTACCGTGATGCCTTGGTGGTCATCTCCTGTTAACAGATGGGTAAACTGAGGCACCTCGAGGGAAAGGTGCTTGCCTGAGATGGTCCAAGCAGAAAATGCCCTATCTGGACTTGGAACTCATGCCTGTCTGGCCAGAAGCTCCCACTGAACCCTCCTTTCTTCTCTGCCAGGAACACCAGGTTCCCGGGACTGGCTGTTTGACCCCCTCCTTTGTCCCCTTGTGGTGCTGGGCTTTGGCTGGGTCCAGGCAGGGCCCAAGGCAGGGTCCAGGAGGCGCTTTCCTCACACTGCCCAGTCAATGAAGGGCCTGGTTTGGGAGCTGGCCGCATGTCCTGAGGTGGGGCTGGGCCAGGCCAAAGGCTCCCACCTACTCCACATTGCACCTTCCCCATGCTGGCTCGAGCAGTCATGGGTCAAATCTTTGGGTTCAGATTCACTCCATCTGAGTGCAGCAGGCCAGGCTGAGGATCAATGGTTCTATGTGGGGAGGGGCCTGGAAATGCTCATGTTCCCCACGTGGTCTGACAAGCCAGGCCGTGGGGGTTCTGGGCTCAGCCCATGACCTGGTAGCCCTTCCTTACTGGGATCCTCTGCACATACTCCTTTCTTCTCAGCCTTCCTTGCCTTCTCCGCTGAATACCACCTTTCTGTGCTGCAGGACTGCTCAGAGCCTTTACTGGCTCATGGACTTCTAGAGGGGCCAGGTTTTCCTAACTGCCTTGACTGACAAAGCCTTTGTTCTAGGAGTGATTTACAGGACTGGAGTTTCTGGGACCCTACTTTAGGAAAGGCTGCCTCCTTGATTGACTTAGCAAAGGGTGTAGCCTGGGTCTTGTTTCTTTCCCCTGGTTCCTGTGTGTCCAGGCCTGGCACAGAGCAGGCTCTCAGGCAGGGTTTGAGGCATGGATGGACAGGCTCACAGGTTCTGTTTGCTGTGCCAGTCTCTGACCCCCTCCTCGGCTCTCCCCCCACCCATACCAGTAATACCTGCAGTGGCAGACCCTGAAATCTGGGGGTATCAGTGTCCCCTGGAGAACCTGTATAAGCAAAGGCAATAATAATACACCTTCCTGGGCCCAGCTCTGGAAATGCAGATTCAGAGGGTCTGGGTTAGGGCTTGAGAATCTGAACGTTTCATGCCACAGTAGGTGGGTCCCAGGCCTTGATTTGGAAATTCCACTCTGAAGAGGGGGTGGCCTGACCTGCCCTGGGCTGGCCCACCTCAAGGGACATGCCTAGACCCCAAACTCTTCCTCATTCTTCAGAACCTAGCCCCCATACCTCTGTCAGGAAGCCTTCAGTGACCAGTCCCATCCCCATCCCACCAGCCAGGAGGCTCCTCTGAGCATCCCTAGCCTTCTATCTCAATCTTGTGACTATTTTTGTAAATGCTGATTTCCTCCCCATCTAGCGGGGTGACCTCTCAGAGGGTGAGGCTTTGTCTGTGTGCAGTGCTGGGCCTGGCATACAGTAGGCGCTTAATGTGTGCAGGTGGAATGAAACTTCTGGGTTCTGGGCTGCCTGGGCTCCTCTGTGGAGTCATTACAAAAGGGTTTTCGATGGAGATTGGGGAATTAAGTGCTAATCTTGACCGTTACTGACTGTCTGGGTGACATTGGCCAAGTTGCATTCCCTCTCTGTTTTTTGTTTCTTCCTTTGTTGAAAGAAAACAACAATAGAGGCGGGGCTGGGCACACATCAGTAACGCTCCTTAACAACTATAACCACAAACCTTTGGGACCGAATAGGTGCCCAGCTCTTTGCCTGCACAACCTCCCTCCTGTTCTAACACCCCACCCGGAAAGCTACGTGGAATCAGAAAACTCTTCTGATTTCAAGTCTCAGTTTGGTGCTAACCCAGCTCTGACTTGACCATGATACATGCCAAGGCCCGCTTTTCAGCAAGAGAGGGCAGGGTTAGGCTTTGATGTGTGCAGGTGACCAAGTGTCCAGGTAGAACGTAATGTCATTGTGTTTCCGTAGAGTTTATTCCAAGTGCATAGATATTTAAGATTCCAAGTGCCAGATATTTAATCCTCAATAGCTTGCGTGAAAACTTGGGTCCGAATGTTCACAGCAGCATGATTCCTAATGGCCAAAAGGTGGAAACAACTCAAATGTCCATCAACTGAGGACTAGATAAACAAAATGTGATCTATTCATGCAGTGGAACCTTATTCAGCCATAGAAAGGAATGTCATGTGCTATAACCTGAATGAACCTCAGAAATACCATGCTAAGTAAAAGAAGCCAGATACATTATACGATCGCATTTGTGTGAGATGTCTAGAAGAGGCAAATCTATAGGGATAGAAAGTAGACTAGTGGGGGCTGGGGGGAGAGACAATGGGGAGTGGCTGCTAATGGGGTTTCTTTTTGGGTGACAAAAATGTTCTGGAACTGGATCGCGATGATAGCTGTGTAACCTTGTGAGTACGCTAAAACCCACTGAATTAGAGGTTTTGAAAGGCTAAATTTTATGGTATGTGAATTCTATCTCAGTAAAAGGGGGAAAAAGAACACAGTGAGGGTGTTCTGCCAACATGGAGAAATAGAAGCCCTTGCCCCGTGCTGCCTCATTTCTGTGGCTTTAGTGATGTCACCCCAGGGCAGGGGTTGGGGGGGCCCCCTCTGAGGCTGGTGGGGACCCTGGCCCACCTCCTGTCTTGTGCCCACAGCATCTCTAACAAGGAGCTGTCCGATCTGATCGAGCAGTTGCAGAAGAATGCCGACCAGGTGGAGAAGAACATCGTGGACACGGAGGCCAAGATGCAGAGTGTGAGTGCCACCCTGTGCCCCCCTGTGTCCCCCTGTGCCGCCAGTCTTGGCTGGTCCAGTGGTTCTCACCAGGGGTTGGGGGTGGGGTGGATTCTGTCCCCCGCCCCTGGAGAACACGTGGACACATCTGGAGACATTTTTAGCCGTCACAACTGGGGGAGTGTGGTGGTTGGGCATCTAGTGGGTGGGGGCCAGGGATGCCGATAAACACCCTACAGGGCACAGGATGGCCCCCCACACAGAGTGATCAAGCCCCAAATGTCAATAGTGTTGAGATGGAGAAACGTCATTATTGCTGTTGATAATGGGCACACATCAGTGCCCCCCACCCTGGGGGTCAAGTTCCTGCAGTTTACAAACCCTATCTGGAGGAGAATCGTGGTCTCAGGAGCCAGGCCCTGCTTGGGATCCCAGCTTTGCCACTTACTGTGTGACCTTGGGCAAGTCACGTTACCTCTCTGTGCATGTGATTCCCTCTGAGAGGGTAAGAGGGATCATCCCCACCTCCGGGCTGCTGTAAAGATTCGATGAGATTAAACAGGTGTACTTCAGGGCTCAATATTATCATCATATCCTTATTCTTCTTGTACTACACCTGCCACTCCTTAGTTGCATGCAATCCTCCTCTTGCAGAGGAGAGAAAGCTGGGAAAATCATGTTCCCTGTCTGTGTCTCAGTTTCCTCGTCTGTGACATGGGCTAACAACTGCTCTGAACCATACTCTTCTGAGGAGTCTGTACTGTGTGGGACATTGGAGCTGCCCCCACACCTGTGAGCTGCCAAGATGATCATCTTCTCTCTCTCTCTTTTTTAAGTTTATTTATTTTGAGAGGGAGAGAGAGGGAATCCCAAGCAGGTTCCATGCTGTCAACATAGAGCCCGATGTGGGGTTTGATCCCCAAAACCCTGGGATCGTGAACTGAACCAAAATCAAGAGTTGGACGCTCAGCTAACTTAGCCACCCAGGTGCCCCCAATCATCTTCTCTTTGAGCCCCCCACCAGCCCAGTGTGGTAGAGCTTATACCCATTTTGTAGCTGGAGAAACTGAGGTTCAGAGAGGGCGAGGGTGACTAGTCAGTGACAGAGCTAGCCCCAGAAGCATCCCAGAGGTCTGGTTGCCAGATTTAGAAAACAAAAATACTGAACATCCAGTTAAATTTGACTTTGAGAACACTATGGGATATACTTATAATACAAAGTTATCCATCATTTATCTGAAATTTGAACTTAACTGGATGGTCTGTATTTCACCTGCATTCCTACCCAGGAGCGTGACCAAGAGGCGGTTCCAGCGGAGTTGGGGATGGAAGGTGGACAGGTCATGAGGGAGCTGTCCCCCCCCCATGACCATGCAGGTGTCCACCCACCCAAGGGCTGATCCACAGGCGCCCAGACACCTGAGGGATGGGGTGGGCTAGGGATGGTGCAGCTGGGAGTGAGAGATGGAGGTGTGGGGACAGAAGGCAGGAAAGGCAAGTGGAGCTTTCTGCTCCCTGCCAGGGGCCTCCCCTGGCTCCTCTCCTGTGCTCACCTGCCTGTCCACCGCCTTTACCTGCCATAGTGCCTCCCCTCCCCCGCTGCTAGCTTTTTGTTCAGGCCGCAGCTCTGTCCCAGCTCCTCTGTCGTTTTTTTTTGTTGTTATTGTTTTTTTAAATTTTTTCCCCTTTTGTTTTATTTTTGAGAGAGAGAGAGAGGGAGAGAGACAGCATTAGGGTTGGGGCAGAGAGAGGGAGCCACAGCTAGAACTCTTTGGACACTTAATAGTTTGAGCCACCCAGATGCCCCTTAATCTTTTTTTTTTTTTAAGCTTATCTATTTATTTTGACAGAGCAGGGGAGGGACAGAGGGAGAGAGGGGAGAGAGAGAATCCCAAGCAGGCTCCGCACTGTCAGCACAGAGCCCGATATGGGGCTTGAACTCAGGACCCTGAGATTATGACCTGAGCCGAAGTCAGACACTTAACCAATGAGCCCCCCAGGAATCTTTACTCCTCTCTTCATATGGTGTCATGCTATTTTATTTCCTAAATGAAAACAGCTTTTTGGGTGTGTCCTAATTTTGTCCTAATAAAAGGAATATGGGTTTGTTACAAATATTTCAGAACCAACAAACAAGTATAACAAAGCAAATTAAAATCATGTATAATTCCACCACCAGAGAAATTGATCAGCTCTTAACATTTTGGTGTATCTTTTGACCTTTTCCCATGCGTGCACGCGGGCGTGCGTGTGTGAATAGGAGGGTCTAGTGCTCTGACTTTATTTGCTTAATGACTCATGGTAACAAGGATGTGCTTGGGGGATAATTTTGAACTGTTTTTTAACTTCAAATGAACAGACCTGATAAAAGAAACTGTGTTCTGATGACCATAGGAACTAATCTTTTTCTTTCTTCTTTCCTTCCTTCCTATCATTTCTCAGAAGAAAACATCACTGTTTAATTACCCAAAAGTTCCCTTGAATTTTCCTGTTTTCTTAAATTGCAGTGAGAGTCACATAACATAAAATTAACCATTTAAAGGATATAAGTCGGTGGTATTTGGACCCCTACCACGTCTGTGTGTTTCTAAGACATTTCTGTTCCCCCAAAGGGAATCCCATACCCAAAGGCAGTCGCTCCCTGTTCCCCTTCCCTGCAGCCCCCAGAAACCCTAATCTGCTTTCTGTGTCTATGGATTTACTTCTGTATATTTCATATAAACAGAATCGTACAACATGGCCACATGTGACCTTTTATGCCAAACTTTTAAAAGTGGAGGAAGTTGAAAGAGTTTCACAGAGAGCATCCATATCTCTCCTCCCCAGATTCCACCAGTAGCATCTGCTAGATTTGCTTCATCACTCATCTGACCATCAGCACGCGTATAATTTTTTTTAATAAAAAAAATTTTTTTTAACATTTATTTATTTTCGACAGAGACAGAGCATGAGCAGGGGAGGGGCAGACAGAGAGGGAGAGACAGACAGAGTCTCAAGCAGGCTCTGCACTT